ATGCAGCCTCAGCGTTTCTTCCAGTTGGACAGACCTTCCCCCAGTTTGTTCTGACCGATCGTACCGTGCTAAGCCTTCTCCCTTCCACTTCAGTCCCGCTAGGCCCTTCTCGTGCGTCCTTAGTCTTCCTTCAGCGCCCTCTGTCAGCTGACCTAAGCACTCCCTTTGCAAAAAGTGATGCTTATGTCGTGTGGTGGTTTTAAAAATATTTAAATTAAGGATTTTCCAGAGTTCAGACATCTTGGAGTTTCTTAGTATGCCATATAGCAGAAGCCTTGTTCCCTGGCCCGGTACTACACCCCTGGCTGCACCCAGCAACCTCGCTTTCTCTGCAGCTTGACTTAGAAGGCCAAAACACTCGTCAACACAAAAATAATCCCCAGCATAGACCGCTTGGAGAGCTATTCTGCCTTTCAGTGACGGCAGCACGCAAGAGTCTGCACTCTGGAAAAGTTATCTCCTGCTGTAACTACTTAAATAGGGACTTTTTAGCTGCTGTTTCTTCCGTCAAAGCACGGCATCAATTTCTACTTTAGCCAAATGGTATGCTGCCCCCCCGCCCCGGCTTCAGGTAACGACGACTCCCTGCCGCCGCCCTTTCGCATTAGATTTGAGTACTCAAGGCCAACTCTCTCACAAGCGTTTTCTTTTTACAAGCATTTGGAGGAAGCCGTCCAAGTCAGAAACCCAGAGAGGCAGAACGTGCCCCAGTATCTGAGGTGGAGGGGCGGAAGGCACCCCAAGGCCATCAGCATTACGGAGCACTGTGATCAGTAGATGACATTCCTATGAAATACAGCTTATTCTAGGAAAAAAGGTTCCCATCATCTACGTAGGAATGGTGAGATGTTAACTCTTCGCAAGGAGACGGTTCCCATCTAATTGAAAGGAGGTGTACAATTTTGACTTAGAATTACTCTTAACACACATCAAACTACTTTTTTGCCTGGCTGGTGTCCAGCAAATGTAACACACTGTGGGGTTTTTCCCACAGACATTGGTCTCCCAGCCAGGGTAACAAGGACTCCCTGGCATACCGAACCCTGAAAAGCTTTCTGTGGGTAGACTTCTTCAAACACCGTTTCCTTAGCAATGAATGAACCTTTTGGGGGTTTTCTGGTAAGCACTATCCTAATACTTTAAAAGCAAAATGACACTCCTTGACTAGTTGCCACTTGAGACTTTTTTTTCGGATGGGCTGTATAGGCTGTATAGAAGAAGTCCCCTCAAGATGACAGAGATGGTCCCCATCAACAACCCAAGAAGGACAGAAAATGAGATACGGCAGTCAGGATGGCAAAGGCACCCGTTCAGCCACTCCGGTAACGGCAGTCGGTGGCACGGATGAAGGCACCCTTGTAAGAACAGAGCCGAGTTTCCAAGGAAGCAGGTAGATTTGTGCTGTGGGTGCTGACATCCGCAGGATAGCCAGCTTGGGAAACAAGTGTTTGCAGGAGCATCAGGACAGAAGGTGTCCAAACCACTGTCCTTCTCTGCTAAGAACCCTACTAGATGCTGCCGGTGGTTTCCGGAGGCACCGGTATCGCCTAATCAGGCACTAGAAACGCATTCTTAGATTGAGGATTTTCCAGAGTTCATACTTGGAGTGTGTTAGTGTGTCATAGAGGAGTATGAAGAGAATATGGGAGAAGCCTTGTTCCCTGGCCTGGAAGAAGCTACTCCCGCATGCCTTGCTCTGCACGGGGATACTCTGCTCTCTGAAACAGCACTGAAAATCCAAAATACATGCTAATTACATCAGTACGCGTAGTAACACCTGTTGTGGTGTGATTTTCTGGCATCACTCAAAAGGCTTCAGTCTCCTACATTGAATCTTACCCACAGCCTCCCTGCCCCTCCAAGACTTGGCCTTCCAGCCAGGTGGCATGTAAGAATATGCCTCGGCTGCACCTTCTAAATCCCTATGGAGGGGTGTAAGCTATTCCAACATACGCAGCGTCTAGCAGAATGCAGGGACAGGAAGAGGAGTATGAGAAAATGGGAAAAAGTCCTTTCAAATAAAATATACTAAGTAAACACACATCTGAGTAGGGGATGAGAGAGGGAAGGAATCAAAGGAATCAAGAAGCAGCACTACATGGCCCTGAATCCAGAACAGATCCTTACTGGCCCAGAGGAAGGAGCGTTGACGGGTTGAAGCAAACGCACTTCCCAGCAATGGAAGGGCACACCAGGTAGGATGAGCAGTGCTGAAGGACCCCCTGCCCAGCACACACTCACGCTTTTCTGAATTCTGCCTTGGTTCAGTTTTTGCTGTCGGCTTCTGATGCAAAGCACTTGCTCCCCCGGCCGAGTCTTCGCAGAGCGCCAGGTGAGCCTCTGGCACATGGAATGGGCTCTGACACTTCCTGGCTCTCCAAAAAACAGATACATACAAAAGTCTTCTCATCAATCGGCCTTATCAGCACCATCAAACACCATGACATTGGAAGGAGGGAGGGAGTATCTTTTATTCTCCAAGAGGGGTGTAGTCTTGCCAGCTAGCTGCTCTATGGGCACCAGGATCCCATGGGAAACAAGCAAAGTTTGGTGAGGAAATCTTCTATTGGATCTGTGACAAGAGGCCTTTAAAACAGCCTTTCTGGTCCTCCTTTTCTCTCCAGTGAATGCTGCTTCTGCTGGAAGGCTGCCTACCACACGTACACGTGGGAAACCTGCAGTGGAAAAGTGCCAGCAGGGCAGAAGGGCCTTCCTGGCTCTGGGACTGGATTTACTGAGTTGAGTTTATTCACTCCTAAAGAAACACAGGCTTCCAGATGGTTTTCCCAATTGCTATTTGGGCGCTGTCTGTAGAGAGTGCTGAGGTGACAGCAGCAGTGGTATGCAGGTGGGCTAAAAGGTCTTCCTTTTTTTTCCCAAGGCTACTGCCCATAGAAGAATGGAAACAGCTGGACTGCCATCAAATTAAAAACTGTCTCCTTCCTTGAAGGAGAATGAAAAGCACGAAAAGGCATTTCAAAACTAAATTGCCAGCATAGTAGTTTTTATGTTGGCAATTAATAAGAATAAAACACCACCGAGAAACCCTGCATAATGGTATGTGCTTTTGTTTATTGGGGAAAAGTAAAATCCCAAACTCTAGAGAGTCTCAAAACTCCTCCAAAAACGATGTCAGCCCGTTATCCATACAGTCCACTGCAGCCCAGAGCCTTGTAGCTGCTCTTTTCAAACAGGTGGAGTGCCGTCGGTTTTACACCAACTTACGTGAATCAGAGCAAGCCGATTCCCAACTACATATTCCAACGTGCACCATGGCTAATTACTCCAGACGGAAACAACCAAGACCCCCAAGTGCCGAAAAAAATGGAAACCTGGAGCAAGAGCATTAAATTGAGAACAGAATTACTTCCAGATGCTCCCTGAGTCTTTTCCTAGCTCACATCGGCTGCCTCGCTGCTGTAATGCAGAAACACTCTGCTCCATGTCAACAGTATCTCCGAGTATCAGAGTTTTACTGAGCCTGGAAAGAGTAAGTATACTCACACAAGCTAAGACAGAAGCAGGAACAATCGATGGGAGAACAACTGGAAAAACAAACTTGAGGGAAAATAAGGAAAGTTAAGGGGACAAGTAGGAAACTATGGAAAACAGCATGTTTGTTGCTTGCGAAAAGAAACTTTCTTGCTAATTCTCAGCAAGCTTTTTATCTTCCTATGTTCTTATCCCTGGGAATAAAAATAGTCAGTGCAGGTTTGCGTTTTTCAAACCTCAGGATTCTCAGGAAAATGGATTTCATTTGCAGACAGTAGCCATCAACTTTACAATTTCAACAGAAATTTGAAGTCCAGAGGAGGCCACCAAGATGATTGAGAGTTGGGCTTGTTCAGCCTGGAGAAGGGAAGGCTCCAGGGAGACCTTAGAGCCCCTTCCAGTGCCTGGGGGAGGCTACAAGAAAGCTGTAGAAGGGGGACTTTTTCCAAGGGCAGGGAGTGACAGGACAAGGGGTAACAGGTTTAAATTGAAAGTGGGAAGGTTTAGATTGGATATCAGGAAGAAGTTCTTCCCGGAGAGGGGGGTGAGGCGCTGGAACAGGTTGCCCAGAGAAGCTGGGGATGCCCCATCCTTGGAAGTGTGCAAGGCCAGGCTGGATGATGTTTGGAGCAACCTGGTCTAGTGGAAGGTGTCCCTGCCCATGGCAGGGGGGTTGGAACTAGATGATCTTTAAGGCCTCTTCCAACCCAAACCATTCCATGATTCTGTGATTTTTTCAGATGGTCTTTGTGTTCATGGCTCAAGGAAAAAAAGCTTGATTTTGTCCTTCATTGCAGTTTCACTTTAAATAAGTCGTTAACTTGGTTCTTTAGTGGAGTTGTAGTTGATAATGGAAACCGGGGTGCTACAAAGGAGTAGTCTCAAAGGAAAAAGGCAATCCTACTCGCTGGCTACAACAGTCTTGCCTAGTGATCATCTGAATCTTAATGGAATACGCTTCTCCATAAAAAACCCCGTGAGTTTTAATTTACAAAACACCATCTAATCATTACTGAATCCCATCATAACACTTGAAAATTGAGTATTTATTGCTGCAAAGTTGTGTCGCATTATCTTGAATGTTATAACAAGCTGCACAGAGTAGTTCTGATCTAAACTTAAGCTTACTTGCAGCAATACACCTACAGAAATCCACTAACAAGGACCTGGCTGTTGGAGACGTTCAAAAGGGAGAAGGGAAGAGAAGGGGAAGGCCATACTTGCCAACGCAGCATGACTTCTGTCTGAAATCAAAGCAATGTTTTGTTTTATTGCTGCAATTTTTTCCTGCAAATTTTGGCAAAAGAAGAGTTGCAGGACTTTTCCTCCGAAACGCTCGCTGTTCTGATCCCCTGTATCTCAAATTTACGGTTAGGCTGAGGTTATTTAGTAACAGATTTACCTGTGTTTCCTCTTCTTCTTTCTGGGAGGAGTATCAACATCTTCAGCAGGGACTGGAGCAATAATACTAGATTCCTTTACTCTAAACTCATACACCTAACAAGAGATACCATAACACATCCACGATAAATCTCTCGCTAGTAGAAGGTTACTCATTTTCTAAGTAAGTATGATTTCCTCCAACCAACAACTTACAGATTATAGCCATAGTCTCTTTGCAATACATTTAAAGTTGATTATTTTTGTCATTTAAGAACAGAGAGTCTAATTTAAACCTCCTGTAAATTTAATTTTAAAACACTTTTAAAGCTTTTATATATTTGTGGCATGAATTCTAACAGCATTCTTGGGGCAACCAAGAAAATTAATCAATGATCTCTTTCAGTAATCAACACTAGTATTTCTACACTCCAGCTTTAAAAGTAACACCCTATCACCCTTAGGAAGCAGGTTCCCTTCTTACCTGCCTGCATGTTTTGGTCCCAATCAGCCTGGCAATTGCACAGAAGTTGTCATAGTAGGTGCCAATGAGAACTCTAAACATGGAGGCTTCTGCACCACTCCATTCCACATTCTCTGGTGGCTCAATATTTGGCTTCATCTTTATTGGTGTTTGACACCTAGAATTCGCCTCTGTCATGAATAATTGAGAGTTTGGGTCAATGTAAAGCCATGTTTCAAAAATTTCACAGTCCTTAAGAATGTCAACGTTAAAAATAGCCCAGGTTTTTGTTGCTGTTTCCTGTTCAAAGTGCCACAACATAGCAGCCCTTTTCACATACCTCTGACAGAGGTTAAGAGTCAGGTTAAGAGCAGCTGGTGAAATTATACAATCTCAGCTCTACACCTGAATAAATGCAATCTGGAACTTTTCTAACAGGATTCTGTTTGATTAAACTCATACTATTACCATCTTTTTACTCTTTCCATACATTCCAAGTACATGTTTTCTAGGATCACATAGCTCAACTTGGATTTTTTTCCATTCGTTTGGGTTTGGGGATTTTTGTTGGTCTGGGTTTTGTTGTTGGTCTGTTGGTGGTTCTGGTTTGGGTTTTTTTAAATCCTCCCAAGCACTCTAATTGAATGAAGCAGCACTGACTATCCTTACCAGAAGAACTGGAGGTTTCATCTTTCTTTTCCTCTTCTTCTTTATCATTATTTTCTCCTCCAGTTTCGGTTCCAGCTTCTCTATCACTATCTGTATCTTTCGATTCCAGCACATTTATCGTCGGCGTGCTGGGTCTGCTGGTGTTGTTTGGAAGCCTTCCCCTTCGGCGGCCACCCGGGCGCTTCGGTGGCGTCTTTATACGCTCAGCGGTCAAGGCAGCTGCAAACTCCTTCGCACCCTCCTGAACACAAACGTGACAGCTTTCAGTAAAAGAAGTGGAAAGAGTTTTCACCTGTGGTCAGGCACTGGGGGAGAACACGTTCTACTTGCATATTGTCTAACTTGGCATTAGTCTACAAGTTAACCACGTACACACAAATTCCGCGCAATGTACTCTAACATGAGCATAGATCCTTTGGATGCTAGCGTTAAAAAAATAATTTACAAAGCACTTATGTCAGTATTTCAGTTCCACTTTCATTTTGGCTGCCAAGTGAAAAACAACTCATTCGTTAAATTTCTACTTTCCTAGATGACAGGGAAAATGAGAATTTGCCACAGAGAATACCCTTCAAAATACACGAATCTTCTCGCACGTAGCACCTAAATGCAGAGCACGTATTGTTTTTTAGAAACACAGTCGCTGGTAATGTGTTTTCTAGTGGAAAGGGCTATGACGACGCGTAGCAAGTTCTTACGCTGGGAAACGACACAACTTTCGTACTGAAAAATTGAGGGGAAGGTATGAGAGAGATTTGGTACAATATTAGTAAGGATTTCCCTTTATTAATTTCCATCCTGTTGTTTAGGAGCACAAACACTGGATGGAATCTGCTTTTGGTAAACTAGAAGCCTTCATGATTTTTGCTTGTGATACAACTTAGGAGAGAGAGAAGTTTAAGACCCAGTTGTTTGACACTATTGGACACAATAGCAGAAGCACAATATTGGGAAGTAATCATCTGCCTTCCCTATGAGTATCTCAGCCTACATCTAATAAAGCTAAAAACTATTCCTATTTAGACTTTCACTTGATGATTTTCTTCTGCACAAAACGGAGAGAACGTACTCGACTGCAAGTGGCCCTCAAGTATAGGCACAAGCACAGATCCAGAATGTCCTTACACAACGTGCAACCTGCTGTACTACAGCCAGCACTAGCCCTTAGTGCATTCCACCACGAAATCCTCTTACCAGATGTTGGTAACAGTGCGGGCCGCAAGGCTTGTTGTCCAACGCTGTTTCTGTATTCTTCCGTTTGTAAGTATTGGGAGTCGCGTGGAATGCTGTTGAATGAAAACACTTTTACTGTTAGAAATAAACTAAATATCGAACTGCAGACAGCATCCAAAACATTAGGCTTACCAGCACTTTACTAAAAGCATAATAAAAATGATAACAAATAGGAAAAGGCCTCAAAACTAAACGCCATCTAGTGACACTGGGCTTACCAGTTACACACACAGAGAGGGCACACGTGTCAGTTTTTCATGTCCCCGTTTGCATCAGCGAAGACAATCATCACGTTTGTTTTGGGTATCAAGGAAGCAGACAAACTCCCTCTACCATGTTGGACAGAATTATTCAGGGCTCCTCCCATTAATGCCTGATCATCTCTCACTCCACAAGATCCATGTGTTTAATTTTTATCTTGTCAAAAATGCCGACCCCACACACGTTGGAAAGGTAAGGACCCACTTTCCGTTTTTGTTAGAGAGTGACACCAACATTTTAACTCGTTTATCAGCACTCACAACCAAGCTGACAGGCAATAAGAGTTCAGTCCTACACCCCACTGCAGGGCAAAGGTAAGTCAGCATCACACAGTCACTCTGCACCAGAGCCACCTGTTATGCCCCCAGCCGGCAGGGAAGAGGCTGCTCCGGGTGCCTGCAGGCTCTGCGTGAGTTGCAGAACGGTGGCAGCTCAGAGTGGGGCAGAACTGGGTACGGTACAGGTGCCACATTATCACCTTTATCCCAGGATGCCAGAGCTGCACACCCATTCCCTTTGCCAGAGCTCGTCTCAACCAGCTCTCCCCGTGCAACGCCTGCTGCCTGCAGGATGTTTTTTGAGAGGTTTTGCTGGAACTCTTCCATATTCTTTAGTTAACTGAAGGCCTGGAAAACCTGCAGCTAGACTCCCACCAGAACTCATATGCTCGTGTTCCCACATTATATTAGAATATTTTTGGAATACCATCCCTAGTTTGCTGCAATCTTTTTATTTAAAAAAAAAACCTCTTCATGTTCAAGGAATTATTTTTTTGGTTTTTAGTACAGATAGATATGTAGATATCAATGAACACTTTCTGGAGTGTGCACTCACATGAAAACCAAACAAACCAACCCAAGAACCTCCTCTGAGCCAGCTGTCCATCCCTAACGCTCCACGGAGGCCTCCAAGGGGCGCCTGCCCGAAAAGGCACCATCCCCAAGCACTTACGCTGCAGTTTTACCCCCACTGCAGCTAGGCCACTGTAACTCAGAGTGAAGAGTTTTTCCTCTCCCACATTCTAGTTAAAAGCTTTTATGGGATACGTCGCTTCTCATCAGTGTCATCTCCTCGATGTATTCACACTTTCTGTAGGTAAAATGTTAAATAACAAAGAAACCTGGCAATTTAATGCCAAGTTATTCCACCTTGTCCCAGCTTTTATGAAACAATGAGATGATGGGAGCTACCCATCCAGAAGTGGAGGGGAAAAACTCCATCTTTTTCAACACTGCATCTTTACATTTGCACAACATGCCCTTTCATTCGCTCAGGGGTTTTTTTTTTTCCCCAGGGAACTGTTTTACCCTCTCTCCACACCACAAGGAAAAGAATTTTGCAATGACACAATGGAGCAGTAAAACATTTGCAAGCCGTAATCCACGTCAGACCACTGCAACGTGCAGACATCAAAACTACTCTGTTTAGATACCACTTGCAGATGCAAGCGTTTCTCTCACAAGTTCATTTGTGGGAGGTCCTAAAATGAGTGTTTATTGATTAAAAAATTGTTTTCCTTTAGACAATGAAGGAATGTTTAGTCTGTCATGTTTTAAATCAGTGAGAACTCAAAAATATGCTGGATCTGATGCTTAATATTAGAATTTTATCTCGTATCCCACCGTTTCAAAAGCACCCAACATAACACAGTACTGACAACTGCAGGCAGAACCTGCCACGACTGTTGCGAGGTGTTTTTTGGGGAGGTTTCTTACCAAGAAAGGACAAGAATAAAACTGTTTGCATAGCTGAATCTTGCAAGTATCAGTTGTCATTTTTTTCCCCCCAAAATCAAAGACAACTTTGCAGAATTTCCCGAATAACTAAAACTGCGTATTTCTCCTATAATTCCCTTGAGATATTAATTTTAAAGTGGCTTCTCTGAGTGCGTTTCCTGCCTGAGATTTATTACCTGTCTCACCCCCAAAGGGTTCAGTTCTCATGTTTTTCATGAAAATACACAGGCAACAGCTGAGCCTGAAACGTATGTTTGCTTCACGGTCAAGCTCTTTGGGAAATTCTCCCTACCTGCTGTTTTTCCTTCTTCTAAGGTCTTTGTTAGTCCAGACATTTAGGCATAATCCCTTGCTGCCTGCAAATGAGGTCAGGACACAAGTTTTTTCAGTAATGTCATCACCTGCACATAAGGATTGCCAGGTCGTCAAGGGGACTTGACAGGGTAAAAACCTAATGATTACTTTCCCAATACTTAACCCAAATGTTCTATAACAAGTATTTGCAACTCCACAACATAAAGCTAATCTTAAAAAATGGAATCTAAGAGGGGGAATTACAAAAATCAAACCCAGACCTAACAGAATTACAGGAATTCACTAAGCCTTCTTCAGAGATTTGCGCCTTTCCAAGTACCAATCTCATCACTGTGGCCCACCACATTATCGGAGTCAATAATTAAAGATGTCATCTGCAGAAGCAGACAACACAACTGACACTCCATTTTCAACAGATGAATTTCCAGCTCCAGACAGACACGCAGAGACAGAAAACAATCCTCTTGGGTGTTGCTACAGACACAAGCAGAAGGAAGCAGTGCATCCAAAGCTGTGAGCAGTCATTGCAGAGGTGAGGTTTGGGCACATCTTCAGGGAACAGCGACTGAAGCATCAGTTTACTACATTCAGTCTGGAGGCTTCATCCCATCAGGGACATAACTCTGGGCTCTGTCATTGGCTGAACCTGGCACTTAGGAACACATCGAAGTGACAACACTCTGAACCCAGCCTTCCCAGCACTAAACCAATTCTGAGCCGATCCCCCAACACCGTGGGCTTGCAATACCAGGCTCCCCGGAGTAGTAGGTACCAAACTGTGGTCTGTGAGTCCTTCCAGTTCTACTTGTAACCATCTGCCAAAATGACTCTGATAACGTAAGTCATCATAAGCATGTGTATTTTAGAGAAGCCCGTATCTTCACCAGAAAACTCCCACAAGTTTACAAAATTAGTGAGATAAAATGACCTAAACCCCTGCTGCAGAGGTACCTAAAATCTTCTGGGGTACTACTGGAAAAGTTTGTTCTCACTGTGTCTGGCCAATGCTTTCTTGTTGACTTCAAAACCAAAATCCTTTTGAAGTAAAATTAGACTGGCACTCTGTCCCCCACTGCTAGACTACTGAGCGTCAAGAACTCGTAAAACCACAGCCAGACAAATGGATTTGCCAAGAGGTAGCACACAGCTTCACTTCCCTGTCCTACAGACCACAGCCTTTCTTGGAATGAGTTATCCAGGCACCTCTGACACCTCTAAACAAACTCTACAACTTCCAGGTGAAGCCGGCTGGACAAGGCAGCAGCTATGCTCCAGAAAGTGAGTGTTCTTAGACATTATTCAGAAGAGCTGCTTTATTTCGTCTTCCAAGCAAGGCCTGCCAACAGAATGCAAGGAGAAAGTGAAACTAAGAGACCTAACTCCAAAAGCCACTAAAGAAACCAGGAACAGGAAAATCTTCCCCTCCCACTGCCTGAGAACAACTCTTCCAACTGAGAGGCAACCAAGGGATATCAAAAAGCAGCAGCAGCATTGAAGGGCTTCAGCATGAAGTACATATCCAGGCAGACTGCACGCGTGCTGGATGGATGAGGTGCATACACACCCACAGTGGAACACGCCAACCGTTAAGTCAAACGAGAAAATGAATTTGAAATAGAGGCCACCACGTATTCAAGTTGAAACCACTTCATTTTGGACTGTTAGGTTCTCCTTCACACTTGGCTCTGTTCTCAGAGGAAGGATTGCCTCAAGCAGCACTTCAGAACCTCTCTTACTCTTCACAGTTTACACATGGAAACTAAAATCATTACTAACGCTGTTAAATCCTTCTCTCAGAAGAATGGGGTCACATGAAAGCAATTCAGTGGAAAAGTCATCACAATTTCTACGACTCAACTGTCTGGAAGAATTCTTATTCAAATCACTAGGTACAAGTAAAGTGGCTAAAAAGTAACAAGAGAGAATAAAAGATAAAGTTGTTTGTGGATGTTCATTCTCCCTGCTGGAAAATAGAGCAAGTCTGATGCATAATCAGGTATTTTCATGGAGAAATATATCCCATTCTCCACGCACAAACTGAGAAAGCGTGACACACAAACAGGAGTAGAAAACAAAGTCACATTCTTGAAGACTATAAGCAGAGAAGTAACGTCACAGGCTGATCCAAGCCAGGGATTTGATATGAACTCCTAAATGCAAAAAGGATAACAAACTACCCCAAACCGGTAGATTTCTGAGGTGTAGTTTTCACTGCAAAATGATGTAAACGTGGACAAGTTGGTTTTGTAAACCTTAGCGGTATTACTGGTTTTCTTTCCTTCCTTCCGTAGTGCACCTTATGGTACTTCTAAGTTTCCTCATTCACAAGAAATAAGAGGTGTAATTGTACTTACGATGCAAGAAGCAATCGTACTTAAAACAGCGCCTACAGAAGAGCGTGTGAAAAGAATGCAGGCTTTGCTCCCTCTGAACGGATTTAGCATTTGGTCCATCTATGTTTGGTGTGCATTCAGGAGGAAGAGCTCCGGGAAGCTGCTGCTCTGTGAGTTCTTTGTATCTTAAAATAATAAAATAGAAGTTACTTATTCAGAGTAATAATGGGGGGAAGTAACTTTTTATTCCAGTACCCCTCTGCATTTTCAGTGATGAATTAAGAGTATTTAAAGAAATGTGACAGCCAGAAAGGCCGATCTGTCAGTGACGCAAAAGGTATTAGTTCCATACTCGTTAATACAAATCTAAAATTGGCTGGGCAAGGCAGCACATGTGCAAGCTCCCACTGTCCAGCAGTTTGAAGGGAAGGCTAACAAACAGCTCCGTATCGTTCCACACAGTGACAGAGCAATATCTCCCAAGAAATCCTTCTTACTTCTCTTTCAACTCTTCTGCTGTACCCTTGTCTGGAAACATGGAGGAAATGGCTTCAAATATCTTGTCAGAAGGAAATCTCCGAGGTGGGTGGCTTTCTTTCTCTGTCAAAGCAGCAAAATATGTGGAAAACAAAACAAAATAAAATTACATTTCTGCTCCTTCACGGAGGTGTTCACAGAAAGGGGGGATTTGCCAAAATCCTAAATAAATGAAGAAGCAAAGTTTGGTATTTCTAAATTGCAGACAACTGAAACTGCATTGAGTGACCATTCCTGC